AACTAACTAACTAACTAACTAACTAACTAACTAACTAACTAACTAACTAACTAACTAACTAACTAACTAACTAACTAACTAACTAACTAACTAACTAACTAACTAACTAACTAACTAACTAACACACACACACACACACACACACACACACACACACACACACACACACACACACACACACACACACACACACACACACACACGTAATTACATATATATAGATATATATTTAATAATATATAACTTCTTAGTATCTTAAAATATTTTTTATACATAATAAAAAAGTATAAATTTTTATACATAATAAAAAAGTGTAAATTTAAAAAAATATATATTTTCAAAAAAAAAATTTATGTATTTTCTTAATACATAAATTCTTTATGTAACAATTTTTTGTACTTGAAAATTTTACTTGAAAGAATTTATTATAACTTAAAATATAACCAAAATGAATTATCTAGAATAATTAATACAAAAATAAAATATAATATAATAAAAAAGTATATATGTATATATATATATATATATATATATATATATGTATATAATGTATTTTGATGATCAATGTACATATATTTTAAGTAATCAAAAAATTACTTTGACATAATTAAAGATCCTTTTTTGATCTTTAAGTTTTGAGTAAGTATATAGGATATATATGTATGTATATTCATACATGTATATGTTCAAATGGATATTTTTGAAATCGATTCTAGAGATCAAATCAAATACAAAAGTTATAATTGAAATTTTAACATATAAAAATATTAATTGAGAGTTGAGTTACAATAAATAATATTTGAAGTTTACATTAAAAAATGAAGACAGGAACAAATAGAAACGTTAATGTGAAAAATTATTGCTTTATGTTCGTTTCACTTCATCTAATGCAAATTAGTATAATTTAATAAATAAGTCTTAACTGGTATATATTTTTATATATCAATTAATTTTTAAAATTGATCTTCTAAAGGTATATTTCCAAAAATATACAGATATAAATATTACTATAGAAATTAAGAATATTTTCTTTTTCATTCATCTATTGTTCTATATTATCTTATCTGTATATGTAATATTTTTATATCCTCACACATTTATTTTTAAATTTATTATATGTATTTTCGTAAAAAATACCAATATAAAAAAAATAAAATTATATAATTATATAGTGCAATATATTTTTATTTTATACCAATTTTATTCCAAATTTAATAATATTACATCGAATAATTTTATAATATATGTTTTTTCTATATTAACTTTGTAAAATATTTGTGTGTAGAATTTTATTATTCATGTATTTATTTATATAGTATTCAATTATTTTCTATCATAGAAATTTAAAAATATAAGAGATAATTTTTTAGGACATAATAGAATTTATTAGAATTAAAAATTAAGCAAAATATTCCTTCGTCGTAAACTTTAGAGAAATATAAATAACTGAAGTAACAATGATTCTATTCTATCATTAATTTATTAATTTAAAAATTGTTATTTGATTTTCTATATTTAAAAAATTTATTTTATATTTATTTATTTACTAGTTCAAAGATATTTTTGCCGATTTTTTAATTATTAAATTGAAAAAATAGAGCTATAATTTAATTTTTTATTTTTATTTTGATTTAAACAATCTTTTATGTTCTTAAAACATGGTATAAGATATATTTAAAATTTTTATTTTATTGATAATTATCTATTGTCATGAAATATCTTTATGTAAATACTTATTTATATATATTTAATAATATATATATAATATTTATAATATATAATATATTATTATAATAATATATATATAATATATATATTTAATATTTTAATATATATTTATTTATATATATATTTAATAAATTTTAAACACTAATTTAGAAACTTCATATGAAAAAATGTTATTTTATGTTTTAATTTTTTTTTAATTATATTATTTAATTATTTTATTTATATCGATTTACGAATATTATGGATTTATATAATTAATATATTTTTTTATTTTAATAGAAATATTCAATAATTATAATATTTACTATTAATAAAATAAAATATTTTTGTATAATTTAAGGAAATTATAAAATCTGTAGAATAAAAAATTTTTATTCAATATAATAAACTATAAACTATATTCACTAAATTTATTATCATTTACAAAACATAATTGGTTAAATTATAATTAAAATAACATTTAATGTGTTTAATATTTTATTTTATATTATTATAATTATATCACATATTATAATTTTCAAATAAAGTATTTGTATACTTATTAATTTATTAATTTATATCTTCATGTTTCATTGAAAATTTGATATTTTATAATTTTTCTATTTAAATATTATTTATTATTTTTTCTTACTTACTACATGATTTTTTATCAATAGAATACAATGAACTATTTATGAAAAGGCACTTTATTAGAAGGAGCTGGTAATCTATATTTTGCTAATTCTACTTCCGCTTCTCCAAAAGATTCTGTATGATAACAAAAATATTCTGGATTTTTATATTCTGTATTTTTAGCAGCATTAGGGCCTACAGCTGAAAGATAAAATTTAAAAATTAATAATATATGAATAAGAATATTCATAATAATTATTGTATGTAACAATTGATGTTTGAATTTTTAAAGGATTGGAAAAGATTTAAAAATTATTATAGCTATTTAATTTAAAGTATCTAAAATAACATAAAATAATAGCAAAATTGATATATATATATTATAGTATATAATATTAAAAAATTAATTATTATTATTTTGAATAATATCTTAGTAAAAATTCATTTATTCAATAAAATATAGAATATAACATATAGAAAATTATTAACTTAAATTTTTTTTTAATATTTCATAAAATTTTCTTATATTTTATATTTAGCATAATGTATATTAATTTGTTAATAAAAATTAATTTTATCTATTGTCTCAAACATTGAATTGAATTATGAAATATATTTACTTATATTTGTTTAATTTTTAAAGTATTATTAATTTAATTATAATTTAAAAATAAATCTCTCTAATATCTCTTTTTATAACTTTAAAAATCATAATGTTTATATATTCTACAATATATATTTAATTTTTACATATTATTTGATGTTATTTAAGAAAAATAATATATAAATATAATAAATTTATTATATAATATTTTTAATTAATATTAATATTTATAATTATAATTTAAAAATAAATCTCTCTAATATCTCTTTTTATAACTTTAAAAATCATAATGTTTATATATTCTACAATATATATTTAATTTTTACATATTATTTAATGTTATTTAAGAAAATTAATATATAAATATAATAAATTTATTTATATAATATTTTTAATTAATATTAATATTTTTAAATAATAACACAATGAAAATTAAAAAACTTAATATTTATTAACTATTAACTATTAAATATATTACATATATTATATATATGTAAATATATCTTACGTGTTCGTGGAACTTTACAACATTTTTCACTGAGTCCTAAAACATTTGGTTTTATTGTTGATGTATTATTTTTTCCTTTTGTAGATTTTTGCATATTCAAACATTGTATTAAATTTTGTCTCTAAAATAATATTAATATAATATTAAATAATGTTGAATATAACATTAATAGTACAATATTGATATGATACATATTACAAATATTAAATAATTAATAAATACGTTTGAAATAATAATAATAATTTGTTAAAATATAAATAACTAAAATATAACATATATATATTATTAATATAAATAACTAAAAAACTTATAACTTTTTTTAATAATGTTATATTTTATGTTATTGTTGTATTTATGAATAATTTTTATGTATACCTGTTTTAAAACATTATTTGAAGTTGAACGTAACATTTTATTTTAATATAATAATAATATTAATAATATTAATAATATTAATATTACTTATTAGTATTTTAATAAGAATAATAATATTAATATTGTCTTTACACTTTTAAAGAAATAAAAGTTTTTTTTCTTATTTATGTAACAATTGATTGTTATAATTGGAACTACTTAAATTCACCATTAGTAATATTTATATGTTATATAAATATAGTTTTTAAATTATATTTAATTTTAAATATAGTTATATTCTTTCTAATACTATTATATTTCTAATGCTATTATTTTTAAATTGATTATATTTAATATATAATAAAAAATAATTTATTAGTTAATTTAAAAATAATTTTTTGACCTATTGCGTATTAGCCTTAATGTGTAACAAAGTAATAATTATAAATTCTTTTTTAACGCAAATCGTAAATATATTTTATATAATTTCCTGTTCATTTGATATAAGATAGTAACCGTAAAATACTAAATTTCTGTATTTAACAAAAATAATTTTTTGACCTATTGCGTATTAGCCTTAATGTGTAACAAAGTAATAATTATAAATTCTTTTTAATGCAAATCGTAAATATATTTTATGTAATTTCCTGTTCATTTGATATAAAATAGTAACCGTAAAATACTAAATTTCTGTGTTTAACAAAATGAATAGATATTGAAAACAATTACTAATAATCTAATTGTATATATAACTTTAACTGTAAGGGCAACACGAATTGTTGATTATTCTGAAAAATTCATAATAATTCTTTTTGCATTTTTATAAAAAATAACTAAACTTGAATAAAAATTCTTTAATGACATATGATATATTTAGAGATATTTATTAAATAAATTGAATCATTGTTTATCGTGACCGTATAACGATAAGTCAAATTTAGTTCTATAGATTTGATATCATCATTTATAAACAATTAAATTAATTTATATTTTTAAATAAATAATATCTCCAAATTATTAGATTAGTTAGAATAGATTTTTTTCTCTAACTAATTATTTGATTATTTCATTATTATTTATTATTAAAAGGTTTTTTATATTATTTCCAATTAAATCGTTGTAATTGTATTATTATATATAATTCTATATATTTTACGCATAAAAAAAAAAACATATATTTATACAATCAATTTTCGTTTATCGCATCTAAATAACCATTGTAGTGATTCCGCTTATTGGAATTAAATTGTGAATACAAATCAATATGGCACCTTAATAATCTTAAAAAGTACTAACTTTATATGAATAATTTTTGAACCAGTGGATCTCTAAATTTAGTATTTTTATTGATTAAAACTATTAAATGATACAAAAAAAATTTTAATGTTCTAAAGTAAAGTTTAATCGAATTAAATATTATTTAATGAATAACATTGTTACGAATTTAATCTATTTTAAGATTCATTTATTACGTAATTTAGAAATATAATATATTGTACATATCTGTCAGTACTGGATAATACAATAGGTAATGTTAATATATTATTTTTTTAACAATATTTTTTATTATTAGTTAATATATATAAATTAATTTATTATTATTAAAATTTCTATTTATACTTTTTCATTTAAAGATAATTGTAATATATTTTTAATTCAATAAAACAAAGTATATTAAAAGTAGAATTTAAGCAACTACAAATGTGTAAAAATTTTTAAGAAATATGACATATGATATTGTTAATTAAATATTATGATAGTACACTATGTAGTTTAAAAAATTATATAAAAAAATTAGATAATTTTATTTTTTTTTGCATAAAATAAAAAGGATCATATAATATTTTAAATAATATTAGTTTGTAAAACATTTAATAGCATTTTTTTTCATTTATAGATATTTTTATTCAAGTAAAATTTATTATATTTTTTTTATTTATTAAATTATATAAATATTCTTTTTTTTTATTCTTTTCTATAGACTCAATAATAGTATCTTGTTAATAATATGAAAAAATATAAAGGATTCTTTTTTTTTCATCTGAAGATTAATTGGAATAATAATTTGGCAATTATTATTAAAATAGATTTTATTAATTTTCTTAAGACAATTATATTAATTTTTAAGAACAAAATAATTTTTTTTCAGAGTTATAAATTATGAATAGTAAATATAAAGAAGAAAATTCAGTTTTACAACATATGAAACAAATTAAATATCCGCTTCTTATTGGTTTATGTGGTGGAATAACACTTCAAAGTATTAAAGGTGGTACATTAGATACCCCTGCTACATTTGGAAGAATGATACATACTGCATTTCCAGTCTGTGGTATAGGTTTCTTCTATTTAACTGGTTCTTTAATATCAGAACGTTATAGAGGAAAAGATGATGCAATCAATAATGTAGTAGGAGGTAAGACTTTTTAAAATATATTTTTAATTCATAAAATTATCTAAGATAACTATTTATAATTTAAAACTTTAGTAGAAAAATAAAAACATTTTCATGTGTTTAGAGGAAAAAAACTATTCAGATAATATGAATAAAAAAACTATATAAATAATATAGAATATACAACGTAAAATCATATTTATTTTGTTAAAAAAAATATATATATATGTTTTATTGAATAAAATTATATTAGAAAAGTTATAGAACAAATAAAATAAAAAAAATTTATACAAAAACAAAAATAATATTTTCCTATTTTCTATTGACTTTCTCAATTTTCAAATCAAATCAAATTTAAAATAAAGTTATGTAATAACTATTTCATTAATAATAATTTATAGTAATAATTTAACAATATTAATAATATCAATTAAAATAATAATTTAATAATGTTTCATTAATAATAGATAATATCTTAAAGATATAATATTTGTTACAGTATTGAGTACTATTCCATTAGTTCGGAAATTTTTGCCTTTAGCTTATACTATTCCAATAATAGGATTTGCAATTGCTGGTTCAGTTATATATAAATGTCAAACCAGTGATGAAGAAACTGCAGAAACTTTTGAATATCGTATGGCTTATGGACAAGATGGAATAGGTTTTAATTGGTATGAATGGTCAAAAAATAAGCCATCATCAGAACCTTATGTTAAGCGTACATCAAATAGCTTTTTTAGTATTCCTTCCATTTAATCATCAATACATATAATAGACTTTATAATTAGAATGTAATATATATTATTATTATTGTACATTTATTCATATATAATTTCAATAAATATAAAAATCATAAAATATTACAAATTTCATTAATGATTTATTTAAGTTAATGTTTCTCCTTTTGTAACCTGAAAGACAATAATTATGTATATTTTTAAATTATAAACAATAACTTACACATAAAATATATTATACAATTATACAGATTATTCATGATTTCAAATTTAAACATATCAAAATAAGACAAGATTTCTTAATTAAATATGAATTTGTAATTCGTATAAAGTATTTGAACAAAAAAATCTAATTATAATTTAAAATTATTATATATTATAAACTATTGAAGTTCAATTAAATAATATTACATAGTATATTATCTTTTTGTATTATTAAATATAATTATTATATATATGATTGAAAATTATATTACAAAATAATTTAAAAAGATTAGATTTTAAAAAATATAGAAAAATAATTATAAGTATATAATATAGTATAATTAGTATATAATTAAATTATAGTATATAGTATAATTAATAATTATCATATATAATATTTAGATATATGATTAGATAATGAATAAAAATTAGTAATCTTCATTAATATCTATTTAATTATTGAATTTTAAGGATTAATATAAAATTGTATTCTTAAAAGCATTTGAATCAAAGTAATAAAGTTTTATTTATTATGATATAGATATATATTTGATACAATAATATCCAAACTTGTATATAACAATATTCTAATCTGTGATATAATAATAAATTAAAGTAAAAAAACAAAATTTTATTATAAACAAGAATATAATTATTCATATAAACAAGAATATAATATTATATAATTAATTATATATATTTATATATATATATATATATTATATATATTATTATATATATATAAATTAAAATTAATTTTTGTATATTTTTAATTATAACAATAACTTACACATGCTTCCAGATACTCAATTCTTCTTTCTAGTGTTGTAAGCTTTTCATTAAGAACAGCTATTCTTGATCGGCAAGACATATCTAATAAAACAAAATTAACTAGTAATCTTTATTAAAATAACTACATTCATATATAAATGATTTCATTATCTTTTGTTGTTTAATAATTTAAAATTTATAAAATAATAAAAAAATAAAATTAGAACAATATTTAGAACAATATAAATACAATATTTATCAATATTCATGAAGTATATGAATAAGAATAAAAAAGATATATTATAGATAAATTCAAAATTTAAATTCTATGTGAAATAAATAATTGTTTTAAGTTGGGAAAGTAATTCTATTTTGATTTATAAAATAGATTATATCTTTGATAGCTTAATTTAATGTAGTTTAATTATTTTTATCATTTAATTATATAATACTTTAATAGAATAATAATATTTCACATTAATAAGAGAATGCATAAATATTATTATTATATTTATTATTTATCATATGGTATACCAATGTGATATACCAAGGTGATTATTTATAAAATTAATAATAAAATAATTTAAAATTTATAAGATCTTAATAATGTTTTTGCTTGTATTTGTTATTACTAGTATCATAAATGATTTTTCAAATATATTTTTTAATTTAGCATTTTAATGTGATATTATTATACTTTTATAGAATTAAAAACAAATTCAAATTTATTTTTCTTAAAACAAATTATCATTTTTATAGTATCTAAATATTGTAAGATATTTAATCCAAAATATTGTTATAAAAATAAAAATATTTATTATATATTTATTTATAATAAATTTTCAAAACATTAAGTTCATTATATATATATAATACAATATTTGCACATGAAATTATATGATATTTAATATAAAAATGAATAATTTTGGTATAAAGTATTATATATATGTTTAATATATAAAGTATATTATATTTAATTATTTAATATTTAAACATTACATATTAGAAATAAGATTAAAAAATTTTAATTATACGTATTATAAAAATAAAATCTTAGACTATAAATCTAATTATCATCAATTATGATAATTAATTAATTACTGTAAAATATAAAATATCTTTTTGATTTTTTCTACAGAATTTATGCAATTTAATAGTTAATTTAATTTTAAAAAATGTATATTTTTTTAGAAAAGATTAAAAAAAGATTACATTATTATGAATTATTTATTAAAATTATATACAGCTATGGCTACTTAATAGTCATGATCAAGACTGCATCAGTTATTCAAGGAGGTATATATTTTGAAAATTGTTTATTTTTGATTTCATTCTCTTTATTAACTTAAAGAAAAAAGAAGAAAAACATTTCTTATATATGAATTAAAAAAACGTTTTATACATAATTTCAAAAAATTGTTAAGTTTCAGTTTCAGGAATTGATAACTGCTCTGTAGTTAAGCAGAAAGTATGACAGTTAACCAGATATTACTATGAACATTATATATATATATATATATATATATATATATA